TTGAAATTTTTTGATTCAACTGTGTTCAACTTTTCATTATCCTATCAAATTAATGCTCCAATCAAATAAACATGAAATCATTGAATTCAGTTACATTGAACCTAACTTTCTTATATGTCTGTGCCCATTGCACACGAATTGGACATCATTGACATTCTGCTCTAATCTTATTTCTTTTGTTATCTATAGTTGGAATCTACAATTCTTTATTCTGAAAAATTATAAAGGACTTGATCTTATTAAGATGTTGAAGACCTGATGCCCAATAGGATGTTTATTCGCAAGCCAAGAAGGCAAGAACCAATATAAAATCCATGAACTACCAACGAAACCTACTCCTTTAACGTTTGTCAAATCATCGGATGCAAGTGTTGGGAATTGAAGATGATCAGCAGTCTTATGGGTCAATCAGAACAACCTGTAAGACAGCAAAGATGAGAGACTTTGTGACATTTTGTGAGAGTGGGTCTCATACATGGAGATTATTTCCTTCTAATTATAATATTTTGTGCCTTCAGACCCCCACTATAATACTGTCCCTCATTTTTCCTTGACCTGTTTCTTCTCAGAGTGGTACATAAAGCTTTTGATCAAAATATAAACCACCACATACTGAGAAGTGATTTAATAAAAAAGATGTCTTGAATGTATGCCAGATTTGACGGTGCAGCTCCTGAGCCACGGAAGGGAATCAGAGCTGGTCATGTTCCTGGCAGCAAATGCATTCCTTTTGGCCAGGTAGGGAATTTATAAGTTTCACTTTTTTGTTGTTTACTATGTTTTCTTTCTTATGGATTGACATGATATCTTCACCAGTTCCATCACCTCTTGTTACAGAACTGCAATTATATTTTAAAGAAGCATTTATTTTGATTCAAATGATTGGCCTTAGACCCAAGACAAGTTTTTCTGTTAAGGCACAGATTCCTCATTCATCTTATAATTATTCATTTTAACCTTCTGGATACTTGTGTTCCCCAACTGGGTATGATGGTTGATAAAACCTTATCATAATGCATTTTACTGATTTATGGACCCTAACTATTTTTACACCAGAGTTCTGTATGATCTAAAAATTTATTTGTTACATGAAGGCATGCCGCCAAAAGACTTTGCCATTTGTTAAGAGCAAAACCTACACCTTGTTTTAACTAGGAACTGTATTACAACAAATGGTGTCCTTGCCTAGCTTTAAACTATTTTCTTTTTGACTGACCTCTGCAGAAATTCAATAATAAATCTTTTACTGTGGGATTTCAATGAGACAATGTACCTTTTCTGCAGATGCTGGATAGCTCACAAATGCTCTTGCCTGCAAATGAACTTACCAAAAGATTCGAGGAAGCAGGTAAGTTTTAATATTTTCATGTAAATATCCAAATGTAAATCTTGCATATGGTAATTTATCAGGGTCACTTGTACTTCTCGAGTCAACAATGATCTTGGAAAAAGAACTTTGCACCTTTTGTAAGATAGAGAATTGCTTCCTCGCTGCACTGGGAAGTCATATCTTTCTTTCATCCTTGCAGGAATCACAATGGACCAACCTGTGGTTGCCTCCTGCGGTACTGGTGTGACTGCTTGCATACTTGCTTTAGTAAGTTACTTCATTTCAGTTAAAAAATGATTTTCTACAAAATTTGACATTGGCATAGTGATAATCAATCAAATTCATGGAATTTTAGGGTTTGCATCGGCTTGGAAAGACTGATGTCGCAGTCTACGATGGATCCTGGACCGAATGGGGATCACAACCTGACACCCCTGTCACGACTGCTTGAATTTTTTGATGTTTCGATGGAACCATCTATCATTCTATAGCGGATCATGAGAGGGAGGAGATGCTTATTTATTTGTACATGAGATAATTGCGAAAATTTTGAACACACTTTATTGGTAATAAAGCAATGTCCTTTAGTTATTAAATAGTACCTATAATCCTCAAATGAAGGATGAATCGATAAATCAGCATCACCTCTGGTAGGTAAGAACTCCATGTTTCATCTTAACAAACGTATGCTGTTGTTCATCTTGACAACTCGGGATGTATGCATTACTTCGTTACTGTTTCTTTTTAAGCTGTCATTGATGCACCTGCTCTGAACAGGTTGGATATTTTAGGGTTTTGTAGTTGAATTCTGTTTGATGACATGCTTTTCAGAGTAAATCATGGCCATAATTGATGTGGTAGAAATAAAGTCCAGATGAAGTTTCCTTTGTATCCTCCTGAAGTCCATTTTATTGTCAACACACACAAACGATAATGTTTGACAATTTGACATAGAGTTGACCTACAGAAACGAAGAGCTCGACGACCAGTAAAATTGCGATCTTTCAGCTTGACTTTATATATATATATATATAAATCTTAGCTTTTACCCCTAAAAATTTACATGTGTTTATACATAAGATGTGTAAATTTTAGTTGATATTAATAATCTTTAAAATTTTAATCAATGGTATTGAATAAATTTTATAAAAAATATTCGGACTATCAAATTGATAGGTATTGTCAACGGTAATCAACTTAATTTTTTGTAATGGACATCAGCCAAAGAAGCACTTATGGTGCATTGTAATATTTGGAAGAACACAAAAATTATCAAGGTTAAATATCTTATTATTTACAATAAGACAACAACGAGATCGCGTGGCCTAATGGATAAGGCGCTCGCCTCCGGAGCGGGAGATTGTGGGTTCGAGTCCCATCGCGATCGTATGTATTGTTTTTCTTATTGGTTTTTCCCTAATAATATCGGGAAATATTTTAGATAATTTACATTATAATCCTAAAAGCCACCACCTTCCACGTCAACAACCAGTGGCCCCCACACCATCTTGCCCCGGCGACACCTGGGCGCTCCACGTCGAGCCCGTAAAGATTAGCGACAGCTGGACGCGGAGTTGCCGTGGAGTAGCAGCTTGACTTGACTGCGCGAAGTCACCGTCCAACTTTTGTGGCCACAGGTTGAAGTCAAGAACGCACTTCTTCTTGTAGATCCCGTCGGTGATCCTATTTGTACCTGCTCGTTTGAAATGACCATATGAGCTTGTTTGACCTCTTTGCAGCCTCTCCTGATCTCAATGGCTTCATCAACCATTCTCTCCTTCCTCCTCTTCGCTCTCCTCCTCGCCCTCTCCCGTGCCGCCACTTTCGAGATCGTCAACTGGTGCCCTTTCACCGTCTGGGCTGCAGCCGTGCCAGGTGGCGGCCGCCAGCTTGACCGAGGCCAGACCTGGGTCCTCGATGTGAACCCCGGGACGACCGGCGGCCGCATCTGGGCTCGCACCGGCTGCTCCTTCGATGGCAGCGGCAGTGGAAGTTGCCAGACCGGGGACTGCGGCGGCGTCTTGGCGTGCCAGGGGTACGGCAGCCCACCCAACACCCTCGCGGAGTTCGCGCTCAACCAGTTCGACAACCTCGACTTCTTAGACGTCTCCCTCGTTGACGGCTTCAACGTGCCCATGGAGTTCAGCCCCATCACAGGGAACTGCAGCGCGATCCGGTGCTTAGCGGACATCAAGGGGCAGTGCCCCGCCGAACTGTGGACTCCGGGCGGCTGCAACAATCCATGCACGGTGTTCAAGACGGACGAGTACTGCTGCACATCCGGCAGCTGCGGCCCAACCAATTACTCCAATTTCTTCAAGAGCAACTGCCCCGACGCCTACAGCTACCCGAAGGACGACGCCACCTCGACCTTCACTTGCCCCGGTAACGGCGACTACAAGGTCATCTTCTGCCCCTCCGATGGGTACCCCACGAGGTTCGGCCGGACCGCTGTGAGATTTGTGATCCCAAGGGCTTGAGGACGTAAGAGGTTTTGTGCCTCGGATTTGTGTGCTGGATTGAGCGCTGCCGTGGGGAAAGGGAAGATGCAGACTTTTTTGTACACTACCAAATCGTCCAAGTTTGACTTTGACTTTGCGACTCCTTCCTAATGTCTTTGATGAAAGTGGAAGAGAAAACAACATGTTTGAGCAACAGAACAATTGTGAAATGATACAGAAGAAATGAGAAATAGAGAAGACACTGAAAAAATACCATTTAAATGATATACTAAAAAAAAATCTTTTGGTCATCAATAAGTAATAAAACTTATATAAATTTAATATTTTTAATTAAAAAAACTCATCTGAAAAATATTTATGTACATAATTTTATTTTTAAATATTTAAAGAGGATATTTTCATGACTCAATAATCTTTAGATTAGCAGAACTCCATTCCATGGGAAACTAGACAAAAGGCTCAAGCATAGGTCTTCCTGCCACACTTCAGTTTTCTCATCAGACTCCAATAACATTTGAAGCATCAGTACAATTTTACTGTTCTTGCCTACCTCAGGAAATCTAGATTATTTTGATGGCACCAAGTGACATGAGCTGAGGTTACAGATCATGACAAGCAATCTGATGTCTTGGATGCCATCACAGATCTCTGAGACCAATATATCTTTGTTGTGTCCTGAACAGTGCATGAATTACTGAAGCCTTTAAACTCTTTCAGTCTTTGTCTGGCTCAGAGAATCCAAATTAATTTCATGCCATCGAGTGACATGAGTTGAAGCCATAGATCATGACAACAAGCAGGTTGATACCTTAGAAGTCATCACAGGCCTCCCTGTATCTAATATATACTTGTTTCCTGAACAGTGCATGAATTACTGAAGCCTTTAAACTCTTTCAGCCTTTGCCTGGCTTAGAGAATCCACATTAATTTGATGCCATCAAGTGACATGAGTTCAGGTCATAGATCCAGCAACAAGCAGTTTGATAGCTTAGGTGTCATCACAGATCTCCGTGTAGTGCATGAGTTGCTGAAGTTTGGAATAGCCACTTTGTTCATATGACTATGACTGAGACCATGTGGTATCAAAGAGGAAGATGAAAGAAGCTTCTATGTTCAAGATGCAGCCCTTGCAAGAAAGTTGTGAATAACCAGAGAAGTAGCACCGGAAAACCATAGCATTGCACACCTCGAAGAGTACCTACAATAATGCCAAAAGCATCATCTTGTACATATGATGTTTGAAGATAAAAATGAAGAGCACTGATATAGGAGCCACATAATCTCTAGCCGGGCTAAGTTCTTCAAATTTGATGGCTGTATTATCAGCATGAACAGAATTGTGAAAGGATTTTAGAATGCAGGGGAACATTTACAATTAGCTTTCGGTAGCACCCATTTTGAAGCAACCAGTAAGGAGAAGGAAGAAGAAGGCAAAAACAAATTTGCAATCAAGTAGAGATTGGTTGTAGCTGATATTGATGATGCCTATATGTGAACGAATAACTGGATTGACATTAGTTCATAACCACATGTTTACAATCTAGCCACAAATTGCAAAAATAAATGACAAAAAACAGGATGACCTTCCAAGGTCTCCATCAGTCTAGATTGCGAATATAAGCTAAGATATCCAACATCATAAAACTAGAACTGATTCCAAGATGACCGCTAATGATAGACATCTGGGACAGAGAAGTATTTGGTTTGATCAAACAATATGTTTGTCCATGATAGTGGCATCTGTAATGATGTACTTCCTACTACTTTGATGTTGGTAATAGGACCTTTGGATGCTAATCCATGTTGTGCATAGAATACTAAATATACCACCTGGCATTTAAAAATCCTAGTTACAAGTCTAACCAGTGATTATCAAACAACACCTAGCATGGTCAGCATTTTCAAGTGAATAAGGCATTCTACGATGTAGTCATCACACGCATGTACCGCAAGTCATGTGCTTATCAAATCAATAAATTTCCATTAATAAAATATAGAAATCAGTGCAATAGAAGTAAATGAAAATACCTACAGGCAAGATCAAGCCATAAACAAGTTTTGGTCCTTAACATGGCATCCTTGAATAGAACTTGTCCTTTCTCGGCCAATGATTTGCATAACCTTTCACAACTCTGCAACATATTTTAAACGGCAGAAGAAAATCAATCTAGCTCGATAATACAAATTGAATGTGTAGCAGCTACCAGTAAGGATATGAAGTATACTTGGAATTCCGGAGATATTTCCAGTAGCAGATCCAATCACAGGGCATGTTACGGACCAGCACCAGCACCCCAAAAGAATAAAAATGAGTCACTCAGTAAGAAGCAAGAAATGCGGTAAAACCATATAGAAACAAGCTATCTAGCATATCTCTGCTTGCAATGGCATTATCGGGTGAAGTTTGAGAATCAAGAACTTTAAGGTTAACCTGCAGAAGATGTGTTCAAGGGAGTAAAATCAGTACCCTTTTGTGAATTTTTTAGGTTGACTTCAAGCAGTCAATATATGTTATCAAATGAGTTCTTAATTTAGTTATTGTAGATTCTGAGTGAACATGCATAATAAAGTACAGATCAGCCAATCTGTTTAGTTATTTGATTAAAAGATCAGAAAGGAACATGGAGGGAGACAGATCAAAAAAATAATCTAAATGGAACTTAACTGGAAAGATTCATCAATAATAGTACTTAGTTTAATATAATTTTCTAGAGCAGTGGGATGTGGCCAAGAGAATGTGTAGCTACATCATGGCTGACCGTCACATGTATCTCTCACAAAATTGACCATCAAATGCGACTTGATGACTATTATCTTATGATTATACCGTACTTCTTCAGATTTACAAATATAAGCATCCGACAGATACACCATCATTAAGTTTCATCTTTCTTTCTGCGCTTGAAACTATAATAGCATCAAGGTCCTAAAACTTGAGTAAACCCAGGTCTAGTGGCGAGGGCACAAACTGATATGGTACATCGGTACAAACGGACAAAGGAAAAAAAAGAAAGAAGGTGGTAGGTGGGATCCATACAAATAGATATTAAGATATATAAACATAACATCCTCCCTGCGTATCATCGAGGTCCCACTGATGGCTGTTTTCACCATTCAAGGGTTCCAAAATGTTTGACCAATTCTATTTTATGAGTGTCAGACTGGTTCAGATATTAAAATTGTCCATTGCAAGAATTAAAAAAATAGATCAATGTATGCTACCAACACTTTTGCATCACTATAACCCCCGACCAGCCTGCAGCTTGAACCAGTAAATACCATCAGTATGGTCAGTACACCATGGTTTTGCTGGAGACGAAGATATATAACATGCTCAACTACTGACTTGATGCTTTAAAATGTGACTAATTTGATTCTAGAAGTATCTTCTGTAAGAAGACCTAGTCACTCATTAATAGGTGGGAAAAAGAACCTAGTTCATAGGAAGCATCCTCTTTGCATCATTAATACACATATATTTTTACTAATAGGACAATAATTATGGTAAGTGGTTACCAAGTTAATCCATTCGAGATTATTAGGAGCTTTTTTTTCCTTAATTACTGAAACATTGAGAAGAGAACATAAGTAAGATGCAAGACAGAAACTTTCTGACAATTACCACCTAGAAACAGAGTCAAAGAAGATGTTTGGCTTTAAAACCAAAAAGCAGAAAATCTAAAAAAAAGCTGCAAAAATGTTAATTCTTCAAAGGAAAGGTTCTTGCACTTCATAATCAATGATCAAAAGCATACATAAAGTAATGAAATGTAGTAAATTTCCAAAGGAACTAAACCAGAAAAAAGAAAGCAGCTAGAATTAGTCGTAACAAACATCTATAATTTCATTTCACCTTTACCATATATTTGTTCACTTACTCGAACGACCAACACGAACATCCGGAGTAAGGCGATACACAAAAAGCTCCATCACTTGGGAAACCAAAAATTTTTTGTACAATCAAACAAACAAATCCGTTCCTTTCCTCCACAGGGTCTTGATTGACTTGTGAAATAGAAACCATGACACGGTTAGAACAAGGGCTACACTCTTGCCACCCAGAAGTCCCAAAAGGACAACTGCACAAAAACACAATTGATGCGAGCTCCCTGATTTAGATTCACACAAGTTTTCTCGACTAAATTCCACATCCTTTCTATCATGATCAGTCACCTTGTTGAAGGCATTGATGCTTAGAACATCTCCACTACCGAGCACTGCATCACTATCATCATCTCCATTGACTGCTTCTTCTTCTTCTATTTCTGTAATGCCATCAGAGGCTCCTCTTCTACTCAAAACAGAAATCAGCTCTTCCACGTTCTTCTTGTCACTTCGTCGGCAAAATTTCTTCGGGACGAACTTCCTGAAAAGCTTCTTCACCTTCGAATTACCCTTCGAACGATGATCATGCTCATGGCAAGCCTTCCCAGCTCCGACAAGATCCCTCCTTTCCAACAAAGCCTCCCTCCTCGGATCCAAATCAATCGATTCCACCGAGTTCCTTTCTGATCTTACTGTATCCGAAGAGCTACTGATGCCAACTTCCCTAATAGGGGAGACCACTCCTCTCCCTTCTAAATCCCATCCCCCGACGACGACCGAATTCAATCTGCTCTGTGCCTCCGGACACGGCTTCAAGAATCCAAGCATTTGAAAGCTCAAGGAATCAAGCAGCCGAAGTGCAAAGGCGGAGACTGTGATCCCCACGACAAGCTTCTTTCTTTCGATAGCCAGAAGCACCAAAACCGACATCATTGCCAAAAGAAACCCCAACCCTGTCTTTAACCTCTTCCTATCCGTCTCAGTAGAAATGAGCGACGACGAGCAGCCACCCTCAGTCACCGGAACGGGGCGGTTTACAAAGGCGGCGCCGGGTCGAGCTCCATCGTCCGACGGTGTCGCTACGACGGGGGTTGCGACGGGACCAGAAGCGGAGGAGTCGAGGTCGGACGGAGGCAGCTTCTTCTTCCGCGAGGGCTTCTTCAACCGGCCGCGGTTCTTGACGACGAGGTCGGCGAGGGAGGTCGGGAAGCCGGTCTGGACGACGAGCGAGCCACCTTGCTCGGGAGGCCGGAGTTCGGCGAGGAGCCGGGACACTCCGCCGCCCCCGCCGCCGCCACCGCCCGCCCGGAACTTCTTCCACGGGTTCGGCATCGGGCCAACCGGCGATCATGGAGGGGGCAAAGAGTCGGCGATCTACTCGGCAATAAAGGATCGCATGCTTTATTTCTCCCGGTCACGTGGTTTGGTTTCCTCGCCGCCCGAAACGGTGTCCAACTTTACAATTAGCCCCACCGAACATTACATTTTATACAAAAGTAATACATACTTTCGCCGACAATGCCGCTTTATTTTTACACCTAACCCCTCCAACCAAATCGAATTTGCACAAAATAGACAGACAGAGCACGAATTCGGTAACGACTCGCGTGAACCGTACGGGGCGGTGACGGGCCGACGCGATATAACATAAAGATGAAGCGCGTTGGCGCGGTGTCAGAGAGACTGTGGGAATCCCAGGTGGATCACGAAAACGGACGGCTCTGATCTCATCTGGAGTCGGTGAGGTTACAATCTCAAAGCACCAAAACAGAAATTGATGCCTCCGTGTTACGCGTGTCAACCTCTCGTTGTGCGGTCAACGTGTCACGAAAGGTACGACAAAGGGAACAGTGGAGTTTGGGGGTCTGATTCGGGCCGGATCGATCAGGATCCGAATCCGATATGTTTGGGTTAGGTTAGGATTTTTGGATAAAGATCATAAAATTTCTTATATTTTTAATGTAAGGGAGTGAGTGGTTGTATTGCTCTTAAGGATCTAATTTATGGCCAATGTCCTTTCAGTAATAAAGAGAGAGATCAATTCAAGGATGGATTGGTTATTAGTCACTCTCACTAAGAACAGAATAATTAATGTACCATCAAATTGAGGATAATTATATGAATATTATATAATTTTGGTGAAATTGGACACATTCTCTACTTTATTAAATGAACAAAAAATTATCCAAAATATGGAGGCTTGGAACTCTATATCTTTATATGTTGGATGTTGTCTTCTCACTTGTGTTCCTCCTTCAATTGGCCATTGGTGCTTGCCTTGTCACCATCCATTTGTGACTTGGTGTTGGTGTTCATGCCTTCTTGATGTCTTGGGGATGGAGATGGTGACCACCAAAGCAAAGAAGTTGGAGAGATAAATTATTGTTGTTGTTGTCTTGGTGGAGTATTTTACAGTGCAAACTCTACAGCTATAAGATGTTGACCAATAATTATATATTGGATGTTGACCACTTTTGTGGTGTAAGCAGTAGGATCCTTGAGTTAGTCTGCACCAGAAACAAAATTTTTCTTGCCATTGGTGATTGCAAAGTTGACTTGGTATGTAGTGCACATTGAAATAATATTGGAGGGAATTTGATGATTGAATGTTGAGGAAGCTTCCATAGACTTTAACCAATTCTTCTTTAGTTTCTTGATGTCTATCTTCTCAAAATTTAAAAAATATTATCTTTATAAATTTTAAAATAACATATTTGTCCTTTCTAATTTAACCAAGTTGTAGTTGTTATGATCTAACTTCTTAATTTTTTAAAAAATATTATATATATATATATATATATAGTCATTGTAGTCCATTAAATTTATGTTGTTATCTGTATGATTATAGAAAAATTCAACTAGGCCCATTTAAATGGAATGCTTTGTGGTTTGGGCACCACTCACACTTTGAGAAATTGACATACATTCAAATTTTATGTTCATAGAGATTAACCTCTAAGATAGATGTAAATTGGATATCGTGAGGTGAGCTATAAACCCCTATAATGTTTCATTATAACATAGGTTTAATAAGTTGATGACAAAAGAAAAAATAATAATAAAATAAAAATAAAATTTTTTATATATATTGTTTCTCATAACCATCCTCCTATTTAGTAAAAGAAAAATGAGAAAAAGACTCGTACACCTCCTCGACAGTCTTCACAAAGGAGGAAGGAAACCTAAGTTTCTTGTTGTCACAATGATAAAAGAAAAAAAGATAGAACTTTTGTATTGTAGGGCAAGGACCCTTTGTCAAATTATGTGGTTCTATCTAATCAGATAAAATATATCATGTATATGATTATATTATGATTATTGTTATTATAGAAGTTTAATATTGTAGAAGTAAAATATATCATGTATATTATCAGCCAATAAAAAAGAAGTCTAATATTATAAAATTCTTTAAGAGACGAGGAGAAACTTTTTTAATTACTTATTCTAGACTTTTTGTTCTTATCTAAAAATAGACAGAGGTTTATAGGGACTCAATACAACACACACAAACACATAATAATCGAATTTACATACACGCGAATATGCGGCTACGTGAATGTTTAGATTCATGATATAATTAAGAGATTTCAGAACTTCTCTCATTTTCCCTAGTTACGTGAATCGGTTAATGAGATATTATAGATGGATAGGAAAAGGGAAGAAAACGAGTCTAGTTCTCTTTGTAGATCAACAGTACTATTAATCTTAGAGTACACTCATACATAAGAGAAAATATTTTTGAACAACATCAAAAGGTATAGATCTATTATTATTTAATCTCAAAATTTTGACATTAAAATTCTTTCACTTAATAATAATAATTATAATTTGTATACTTAGTTATCGATAATCAACATCTCTATAAGCATCTACCACTTTAGATGTATCTTTCTCTTTTAGGTGTCGTTTTGTAGGGTGTTTGCCTCCTTGCTCCACTCTAGGTAGAGGTAGAGATTGCACCTGGTGCAATAGAAGAATCATGGCATGGGGTGAGGAAGGAGATGTCTCCTCATAGCATATACCATGTGAGCCTAAGGATTGCTACGATGACAATGAGTACCTGCAAAAGGAAGATGATCTTTCCACATTCAGAGCTGAGCCCTTATTGTGAGCTGACCCATTCAGGTTTGACAAATAAAGTTAATTCAATTTTAACATTAACTTTAATATGAAGAATATATTTGCTAAGGATTTAAAGAGGCTTTATATTGCAATTATCTTTAAGAAAAACAATACAAAGCCTTGCCAACTTCACATCTCAAGTTGTAACCCACCTTGGTTAGATTAGAAATAACTATATTCATTCCTCCATGTTTGATTGTCATGGATCTTTTTGGAATGGGAGAGATTGGATTAGTGCAAGTATATTTAATATTTTTTTAAATATAAAATATTATTAATTATTATATTAAAAAATATTTATATTGAGGTTGAATTTAAGTACAATGGCAAGGTTGTAATAATTATTTTTATTATATTATTTATTTTTCCACTTGGAAGTGTTTCAGAGCCTCTAATTTAACTTCTTTTTATTATAGTATTTATTTTCTACATGTAAGTGTTTCAGATATTCTAATATGATTTCCTTAAATACACCAAAATTTGAAAGCTTTGGGCGGGCAAAAATACGTTTCCCAAAAAAGAGGCGAAAAGAGAAGCACCAAACTCTGCGTCCCGACAACAATCAGCGTAGCACGATGACATCACACGCAACCCCATTTTCCCACGAGCAGCACTTTCTTTAACAGCCAAGTCCGTACCCGAATATGTACATTCCTCCGGACCAGACATAAATAGGGCCCGTTGCGGGGCCCGCTCTACTTAGGTGAGACGGCATACAAGGGGTAGAGGTAGAGGTATTCCACGTTGGTGACGTACCCCTTTTCTTTATTCTCGTCAAGATTTTCTTCACCGTGGTTTGAGTTACCTGCCTTTGTACCTTCTTTGTGATCGGCCAAATCAGTGGGCCCGATGTGATAGCTCTCTTTGGTTTCTCCGCCGACGTGTACTGAGCGCCATTTAATCGGCGATTTTGTTGATACGCTTCCTTAAGCGATTTGAAATCGAGCCCCAGCTAGTGTTGTTTCGCTAGGGTTTTCTCGGGCGTGCTTCGATCGAGGGAGAGGGTTTTGGTGGGAGGGTTACTTTGCGGGGATGACGCAGGGCGGCGGTGGAGGAGGATCGGAGTTTCACCTGCCTGACGAGATCCTGGCGGTGATGCCGACCGATCCATACGAGCAGCTGGACCTGGCGAGAAAGATCACTTCGTTGGCGATCGCGTCCCGCGTCTCGAAGCTGGAACTCGAGGCCGGGCGGCTGAGGCAGAGCGTCGCGGAGAAGGACCGGACCATCGCCGACCTGCAGGAGAAGCTCGCCCAGTTCGATCGCGTGTTCCAGCAGACCGATTCCCGTCTCAGGGCCGCCCTCGAAGAGAATGTGAGCTCCTAAGCTATGCGCGTCGCGATTGATCGAATACTAGGTTTATCTTTTATTTTTCACAAAAGATATCTGTGTTTTCTTTCTCGAGTGAAGGTTAAGCTGGCAAAGGAACGTGATTCATTGGCGCAGATTTCAAAGAAATTAACTCGAGATTTAACAAAGGTGTGGTTTTCTTTCCCTTCTTAAATGGGCGCTTTTTTTTCTTTGAGGTCATTCCTATGAAGGTTATTGTTAATGCTATATATTCTTATTAGCTATGGTATGTTGAAGCTGGGTTGCGTTGGTCAAAAGAGTTACAGGGTTATCATTGTTCTAAAAAAAGCCGACTATTTAGTTGAAATTCCTATGACAATTGATCGCTTGTAATATTCTACTCATATTGCTAATTATTTTATCGTGTTTTTGTTAACTGAGCTAGGGAATTAATGGTGATTGTTGAAAGTTAGAAAGTTATTGAACTTGTGAGATAAACCCATTTGGAATAAAATGGCATAATGATTAGGGATAGCTTGGGGTAGAAAATTGTGGCACCAGAAAGTGTGCTGCTTTTGCACTTTTATGTTAACTTTTCTTGGAGTAGGGTTGAGAAAGTTCTTACTTCCCATTTAAGAACGAAGAAAAAGAAAAAAAAGAAGTGAGAGGTCCAACTGGATATAGTTTCATAAGGTTAGCATAATGAATTCTTCATTGTGTTGTTTTGTTCTGTTATATTGCTAAAAAATTAGCAAAATACATTTGATAGTCTAGGAAATTTTGATCTTATCGTCAATCAAGTTTTTTGTTTACATAAATGTAATATGAGCCTAGGTTGTGCCTCGAGTGGTCACATATTTAGTTGGTATTCATGCTTTTGGACATTGTTTACTTTAACCAAAACTTTGGTCCTCAATCTAAAAGACAACTTCTATAGTTGAGAATAATAAGTTCTGACTGGCCATGCAGGAAATGGGATTAGGTCTTCTTGGCCATAAAAGTTCTGTTATCTGAAGATAAATGATTTATATGTTTGATCTTGATATATCTGAAACTG